GGAAGCGGTCGATGCCCAGAGCGCACAGGGTGAAGGAGGTCACGCCCCGGGACACCCCCGGGGGGGGGGGGGGGGTGGAGCTGAAAGGGCCTGCTTTGGGCTTTTTAGGGGCCTTCTGCCACAAGACAGGAGCCCCTAGAGGACACAGGAGGGGAGTTTTTCCCTCCCTAAGTCTCCTAGTGCTGCTCTTGGTGGGAACTGTTGTTCTTCTGTAAAGAACTCAGAGTCTGAGCTGCTCTGTTTGGAAAGCTGGGAGATACCTGCTGTTATTTCTGTCTAACTGCAGACTTGCTGAGCCCTGCTGCTCCCAGCCTGAAGCTAACTGTTAGCATCCATCCAGCAGCTGCCATTGAGTCCCAGAAACCCTCCAGAGTTCCCACCGTGGCTCAGAACCTGAATGAAACCAGGACTATGCATGTGGAAGATATAGAACTGTGCTTAAAGGACAAAAGCGGATCACATAAGAGGGCAGAAGACCAGAAAAAGGAAATTAAAAAGAGTTAAAAGTAGCAAAAATGGGCCCCATCTAAACCTTTCCAAAGTTCCCACAGTGGAGGATATAGAACTGTTTTTAAAAGGACTACAAAAGAGGCCAAAGGACCACAAAAACAGCTCAGAAGAGCAAAATCAGATCAGAAAACACAGCAGGAAAAAAGCTAAAAATGCCCCAAAAATGGCAGTAAACAAAAGCTGATTTTTAATTATTGTACTTCATCTAAAGACCTTTAACAGATCTGTGATTTTCTAGAGAATTCCCCACTCAGATGTTCCTCCATTTGAAATGATCCCACACAGTATCCTCTCCTCTCTCAGGTCACATGGGACAGCAGCCCTACTCCCATTGGCCCGTTTGGATGTCTGAGCCCTGGTTTGAATCCTCTCCTCCAATAGAATCAGGCTGACACGGCCTCATCCAATCAGATCTCTGTATCCAGTTGGAACTGAGCAGGAAATGCTGCTTTTACAGCAAAGTGGTTCCAGGTAGTTCCCTAAATGTGCTCTGACTTGGTTTCTGTCAGCAGGACAGCAAAGGTAAGGCAGATTTCTGAGGCTGTCTGTGGAGCCTGAAGCAGAACTTTGGGCTTTTTCTGCTGGTTCTTCATTTCTGAGGAAGCTATCCTGCTCTGAGTGGGTCCAGCTGGCCCTGAAATCTGTTTTCAGGTTAAGGCCAGTAGTCCACAAACAGTCTCAGCTGGAGTCTTTCTTTCCCTTTCATGCAGGGAAATCTGCCCACTTGGACTCAAATCTGGACCTAAGTTGTCCTCTCCAGTCAGATCTCCCTTCAGGTACCCAACACGTAAAGTCCTACATTTTTCTTCCTGCCATCTCATAGCTGATCTCCAGCCTGTTCATGTTAAACTTGTCAAAGTGAATAGATTCTGATGCAGGTCTCTACAGTTCTGACTAACTTCACTAACTATCTTTGAAATGGCTATTTAAAATGATTTATTAGCTATTTTCTCTGTACTTAAACTTGTATCCAGTCTAAAAATATTAATTGTTGAAGAATATCAACTATTTCTTCACAGGTTTG